TTGACTTCCACATTTTTCTCATCTACACAGTTAACTTCCACTTTGTCTCTTCCACACAGTTGACTTCCATATTTGTATCTTCTACATGGTTGACTTCCCAATCATTATCATTAGGCCCTACAACATTATATTCAAGTAAAATGATTAACTCTTCAATGATATCAGGCTGGGATAATGTATGTAGAAGGTATAAATGCACAATATCAAACATCAATGTAATGTTTTTCATCCTTTTTGTTCCTATATAATCTTCCAAATTAACCAACCCTCTATTGTCCATTGCATCATAATACTAGAGGCTATAAATGGTTGGGTACCCTAATTTATTAAGCCATCCATAACTTCAAAATAACTCAAGAAATCATAGTCACATTGCCAAACAGACTCTATCTCTTTATAACCTAATTTTGTAAACTCAGTAAACTCACCCACATGATGCACGATACACTCAAACCACTCATCCATGACATATTCAAGCTAAATAAAGTAGAAGGACCAATGAGGAAGATGCATTAATAAAAAAATACATTTTTATTAAGTCTAAGCATGAGAAATCGTACCTTAAATAATGGAGATGAGTAATAAAGGTTAACATTTGTAGCTCCTCAACCGCATTCATCTTTCTCTTTGTATCTTCTTCACGTTCTGGGAAACTTCATGTTCTCTGAACTAGGGTTTTCTCTGTCTTCTCTTGTTCTCCTCCTCGTCTTTCAACTTTTCCAAACACAATGAAATGGAACTGAAAAGTTTCACCACAACCTAAAGGCTTCAACATAAAACGCCTAAATTCAAAATATTAAAAAAATAATTCATATCAGATAACATAATACCACCTAGACTGTCACATATGTCAAAGTTAACGTTTTCACCCAACATTGAACAAACATGATTAAAGTGGCTACATAATTGTTGTTAAGAAACAAACATGCAACATTCATTAAATAAGAGATTCAAGTGAAACCTTAAATTAAGTTAAGGAATTAAAGATATGTTAAAAATTTATATTAAAAGAAGAAAAAATAGACCTTAGCTTAAATTTAGGCTTTAACTTCAAATTTTATTCCTAATACCAAAAATTTTAATTTTTCATGGACTTTTTTAGTTTATTATTAGATCATAATGTATTGTGAAAGGTGTTAAATATGCTTGGATCTAAACCCCACAATCTAGCTCTTGGGGTTAAGATCCAAACATATTTACCATGGTATTAGATACAGGTTAAGAACTACAATGTGAGCATTTGATCTAGGCCCATACTAGGTATGAGGGTGGATGTTGAAGTTGGTATTTGTGTTGTTGGTATTTATTTGAATTGTCACATTGCTTAGATTCTCAGACTATTGATTGTATAAATATGTTAGGGAAACCTCACCCCTTGAGCTAGCTCTTGGGGTTGAGATCCAAGCATATTTACCATGGTATCAGAACTGAGTTAAGGACTACAATGCGGGAATTTGACCCAGACCCATGCTAGGTGTGAGGGTGACTGTTGAAGTTGGTAATTATGTTGTTGGAGTTTGTTTGAAGTTCCACATTTCTTAGGTTTACGGACTGTCAAATGTATAAATATGTGAGGGCAACTTCACCCCTTAGAAGATGGCCTTGAAACTCTATTATTTTATTTTATGTCTTTCCGCTATTAGATAAATTTCTATGATCTTTAACATCAGGGAACGAGACATATGATTGTTTTATTGAGTTGATGTTGGGTTCTGTTAATTTTCTTTAAGTTTTTCAATTGAACGAACTATTGAAGTTATGTCATGAATTGAGTTCCACTCCGAGTTGTTGACTTTAATTGAACAAAGTATTGTATGTTTTGTTTAAGTAGCATCCTAAAGCGTGAAATTCTCTTTTATATTAAAAGTCGGGTTTAGAATGTTACGTAGAGGACTCGAATCTCAGGGCAAGGGGACTGACACCGACCAATTCACACAGGAAATGACTGACTGATCATGCTCAGTGTCGTGCACCCCGCACTATCTGATGTAGAGGATCTAGATCTGTTTCTAGATGTATTATCTTAGTGGATAAGTCTCATGTATATTTTGATGTGAAGTACACATGGCTGTTTAACAAGAGGAGGATTGATGCGCTGACTGTAGACCATGTCGTGGTAACGTTACGGGGTCTACATGTGTCATTAGAGATCGTACAATGGAGATTGAGTTCCCTGTGGAGTGTGTGGATGAATATTTGGATTGGTACCTTACTATATCACACCCCCGCATTATCCCACCTGGATAACATAGAGATGATACTGGACTTTCTCATGTTGAATCTTCACATGATATATCTTCTCATACAGATGTCGGGGTACCTTCTAATGACGTACCACTGCCTCCACCACCTCCATATGGTGCGAATGACGCTCAACGCTTGCAGATGATAGCGTTCATTATAAATAACCTCATGGTTTGGTGAATCCAGATGGCGAGGCTTTTTGTTTTGCATTGTAGGCGACACACATAGCCCGTAGGGGCCTATTTAGATAATTGATTTTAGATTTGTATTATATATATATTTTGTGACTCAGCCTGTTTAGCATCGTACTTTCTATTACGTAATAAAAAAATAACATGAAAAGTTAAAATTTGGAAATAGAGATGAATCTGAAGTGGAACTTTCTATTACGTAATAAAAAAAATAACACGAAAAGTCAAAATTTAGAAATAGAGACGGATCTGAAGTGGAAAAAAAGCGACATTGGAGCAATCGTGAAAAAAAGAGAAGAAAAGTTTCAAAATTTCAACAAAAGAATGCAACATTTATAGTATGGTGAGTTAAAATCCATGTCTTCATGTAGGGGTGTTCGCGGTGCAGTTTAGGTGGTTTTGAAGCAAAAAATCACTCGAACCACAAGAGAAAAAAATATGCGGTTTAGTTTGGTTCGGTTGGCTTTTAAAAATAAATCTGAACCAAACCAAACCAAACTAATGCGGTTTGGATTGGTTCGGTTGATTCGGTTTTTTACAAAAATATTATTAAGCCATACATATACATATAGAGGAAAATATAATTTTGTGTTTAATTATTCATACATTACTATAAATTTATAATTGTCAAAATAAATTTATAATTTAATACATAAAATTGCATATTATAATTTTATCTAGATCTAAATAATGATATAGACAAGATTGCATTCTTAAATAAATATTATACAAAGAATACGATAAAATATATTTTGTGAAAATAGTATTTATAAATGAATAATATTTTATTTTTTATGATTTGTAAATTAAAATAAGTATCACACAAAATATGATAAAATATACACATAATACATGTTGATTTCTTTAAAGAATTAAAGAAAAATATATTAGTTAGTAAGATTTTATAATATAATGCGGTTTTGTTTTGTTTGGTTTTGTTCAGTTTATAAAATACAAACCGGAAATCAAATCGAACCACGTGGTTCTTTTAGAAAATGACTCAAATACATTAAAATCAAATACAATTTTTTACAATTTCGATTTCGTTCGATTCAATTTTACAATTTTTTATTAGACCGATTTAATTTTGAACACTCGTATCTTCTTGTGCCTAAGCTTCAATAGAAGTTGCCAAGGTAGACTGTGTGGAATATGATGTGGTAACAACTTTTGTCATTTTCATAAGTTTTCAAATAAATGGGGTTTGAATTCTTTACATTGGTCACACAAATTAATAACCATGTTAAATTAAATTAATAAATATGTCAAAACTCTTAACTTAATCAAAGGTTACGTATTCGAATTTAAGTGTAGAAAATATTAAATTCTTTAGAAACTTTTCTGTTTAGAATATTATACATAAAAGTATAGTTTACTTGCACACTTCCTTGTGTGACTTTACTACCTTTGACATTTTGATTTACATATACCTTGTGATGAGAATATATGAAATTTTCAATTCAATTTCAAGCCATATAAAATAAAAAGATGGCGTGCGGATTCAACTAGTAAATTTGGCAATGTCATGTACTATGCCTGACATGACATAGATACCTACCAAAGTCTAAAAATTGAATGTGAATTTTATAAAAAAAATAACCATTTTAAGAGTTTAGTTTAATAAATATTAAATCGATTAAAATCATATATTTATTGAATAAACTGATTTAATCGAATCTATTAAAAATTTAAAATTTTATCGATCAGAATTGAATTTTTAGAATGAAACCGTATTATATGTCAAATTTAACTTTTGAACTCGATATCGATTTAAACCGAACGATTATCCACGTTTAATATTTATAATATAAATAGCAAGGAAGAATCAAATCAAGACACTAAACTTAGTCAAGCAAGAAACCAAGAAAACGACACAAGGGATGGTTGCCATTTGGGGTAGAATCATATAATAATGTTCATGAACAACAACCCTACCATAAAAAAAATATTAATTGTAGTGAAGGTTCACCATTTTTTCTTGTCATACTATTAATTTTAAAATATATTTTAAAAAATTATTTTTTTCTGTTAACCAAATTCAATGATAACTGTAGAGATATTTAATTGCATAGCACATGTTCAAACTCGCAGCACTCAATTTTTTTTATTTTTTAGATTGAATTTTGTCATTAGTTTAGTTTAAAAAATTATTTTTATATAAAATATATATTTTTACACGCAACTGTATATATTAATTTTTTGAAACAAAAATAATTATAATTTATATAGTAAATAAAATAATACATATTCCTTAAAACATACATCCAAACACACATTAATATATTGATACAGATAATAATTTTAAAATATTAATTAATTCAATATAATCACACACTAACTAATAGATAATAATTTTAAAATATTAATTAATTAAATATAATTACATGAGTGATATCATTCATACATGTCAAACCACCTTATATACCCCTTCAAATAAATATTTTTAATTTTTTTTAAAGTTAAAAATTAATTATAAAAATTGTTAGGCTTTAAAGCTTTGAACTCACCTATTAGAATTTATTGACTTTTCCTAGAGAATAGAATGCTTAGGGAGAATTAGAAACCATGAACCAACTTGGTATTACCCTTTTGATTCTCTCAATCTTATTGATGAATCATGTTAGAGCACAAACACAAAGTTCATCATCACAAGGTGCTGCTTCAAATTTCCAACCAAGTCTTGTTGTTGTCATAGGAATCCTAGGTCTTATGTTTGCATTAACATTCATTCTTCTTATTTTTGCCAAAGTATGTCATCATAGACAATTACTTCCTCTTAGTGATGATCCAAATAATCAATTATCAACACTCATGAGATCAAGGTCAAGATTTTCAGGTATTGACAAAACATCTATAGAATCACTTCCTTTTTTTAGATTCTCTTCTCTCAAAGGTTCAAAACAAGGGTTGGAATGTTCAATATGTTTGTCAAAATTTGAAGATGTGGAAATTTTAAGATTATTACCAAAATGTAAACATGCTTTTCATATTGATTGTATTGATCATTGGCTTGAAAAACATTCAAGTTGTCCTATTTGTAGACATAAAGTCAACATTGAAGATGAAACAACTTTTGCATATTCAAATAGTTTAAGGATGTTGGTAAATGATGAATCAAACATAGAGATCTTTGTCGAAAGAGAAGAAGAAAAAGAAAATCGACATGGTTCATCGTCAAGATTTAGTATTGGAAGTAGCTTTAGAAAAATTGGGAAAACTAGTATGAAGGACGAAGAATTGCTTATACAAAACGGATCAGGATCAGAAGAAAAATATAATCACATGTGCCAGTGTCGTAACAGTGATGATACCGATAATATTTTTAATAAAAAGTGTCGGTGTTACAGAGATTTTCACAAACACAATCATCAGATTACTATATCTGATGTCGTGTTTAAGCATAGATGGAGTAGTGTTAGTTCTTCGGATCTTATGTTTTTGAATTCGGAGATGATTAATGCTACCTCAAGTGATAGATTCAACAAGATGGAATCAAATTTTAATGATGTGAAACATGATGATGGTGAGAGAAGATCAGTTTCAGAAATCATTGGTGTTTCTAGATTTAGAGAATTTGATACGAAGAAAAGGGTGTTTGGAGATTCTTCATTGGTTGAAAATGATGTTAAAGAGGAAAGAATGAGGAAGCTTTGGTTTCCAATTGCAAGAAGAACAGCTGAATGGTTTGTGAATAGAGAAAAAAGTTCTCAACAAAAATCATTTTTAGATGTATAATCCAATTTTCACCTTCCTAAGTATCAGCTTCACAACCCTAATTGCAGCCACATCAAATATTTTCATGTCCATTGTGCAATGTAACAATAACCAAAAAGAAAAGAACAGAAACATTTGTAGATTTAAATATGAATTGATTTTTTTTGTTTTGTTTTTTTCAATTTATTTAATTGACATTGGATTAAATTGCAACATGACAGCTTAATGTTGCTGTGATGAATAATGTAAGTCATATTTTATATGCCTTCCATTATCTTTTGCTTAAGCAGCAAGTAGATGAAATTCCACCCTGGTTTCATGAATAATTATGTACTTCTTTATAAATATGATAAAAATTGAAGTGTATAAAATATGTATGTTTTGATTCGTTCGTTTTGTTAAAATAATTTAACTGATAATTATAACATTAGATATAGAGATGTTTATTTAAATATGTGACAACTCACTAGATTATTTAACTAAAAAATTATAAATGATTTCTGATTCATCTTTAAATAGTGAAATTGTGATTTAACAAAAAATAAAATAAAGTTATACATGACTTCTAATTTGTATCAAGAATTTGAATTGTTACTTAAAAATATAATTGATTGAAATCGATTTCAATTTACACTATTAAAAATATAATTGATTAAAATCGCTTTCAATTTACATTTTCATACACAATTTCTGATGTGTCTAATTTCTCAAAAAAAAAGAGTCATTTTAGTTTTTGGTAAATTAACCACTTCCTAAAATATTTGCAGAATATTTTTATTTAAAAAAAGAAGCAAACAAAAATAGTACATTTTGTGTCCATAATATTGTTTGCATGTCTCCTGAAAATTAGAATAAAATCCATATTTTAAGTGATTAGGTGAATGTATCATGTATGAATTCCTGAAGTTTTGTAAAGCAAGAGGCGCAGTCAATTACTTGTGTCCGAATTATGCATGAATTCATGGATCAAGCAAGGTATGCAATTCAAATACGCAATAAATTTAGAGAATTTCTTAACGTATCTTATGTGTTTTTTTAAGTATTAATGTGAATTTCTAAAAATAGTTTTAGAAATCGAAAATATATCTCCAATGCACATTTTGTTATATGAAAAAAACATACAAACCTAAAATACACTTACGCATCTCAAAGCGATGTTGTATTTTTTGTTATAATCTAAATGAAATTAAGAAAAATATTGTAAGAAGCCACACCCTACTATATTGATACGAATCGGAAATGTAACACCAATTCCAAATCGTAAGTGTATTTTCGATTTGTCTTTTGACATATACCCGCGCTACTTCTTCCTCTTCCTCATTTGCTTCAAATAGAAACAAAATAAAAAACTTCTCAAAACCCCATTGTTCTAAAATACTCATTGTTTCAAAATCTATCAATTTATCACAACACATCAGACATAATCGGAATCAATCAAGGAGAATCAATCATTATAAGTTGTTTTTGAGCATTATTGAGTTTTTTTTTTATTTTACATACTAATTGTGTTTTAGGATAGTAAAATGTAGTTTTTTTAGTTCTTACAATGTTTGAAGTCAATACGGAAGTGTTAGTCATGCTTTTTTGACAATCAATGCATGTTTTTTGGTCCCCATTGAGCATCAGCTTTGTCATTGACGTATCTGTTAAGTTGTAGGTCATACCGGAAGTGTATTTTCGATTTTGTTCTTGACCAAAATCGAAAGTATACTTCCAATTTTGCAGCAGATAATTTTTACACTATTTTTTGTACAAGAGTGTTATTTTTTAATATTTTATTCGTTTATTCTATAGGTATTATGACTGAGAGACAATCCAGATTGCGACACAGGAGACTTTCACAACATGCTTCCGTGCATAGGAAAAAGACTCGGTCTTTTTCAGGCTCCTAGGTCGGTTGTGCCAGATACTTCCACTTTGTCGACCAACAGGCGAGAGTCTCCTGTCCATCCATCTCCGCCTCATTTCTCCCGCAAACGCACATCCTCACTACATGTAACTGGACTAGGAGAGACATCTGAATCTCACTTATAGACTACACCATATTTAGTCCATACCTCTCCACCTCCTTCCTTCCACGGACGCCCTATGGTCTTTGAGATATGAGAGTCTTCTTCATCCTAGCCTACACCTGCTTCCACCCAGCAGACACCAGAGGCCACTCCCACCCAACAGACATCAGAGGCCATCCAGAGGAAGCACCAGAGGCCCATCCAGAAGAAGCACCAGAGGCCTATCTAGAGACATCACCAGAGGCCCATCCACAGGCAGCAGCAGAGGCGCCTCAGGCCTTTGGAGGAGGACCTTCTGATTTTTCATTATTGTCATTGTATCTAGACCATGTTGTCAGACACTTACGGGACAGAGAGGTAAATATTTCATTTCATTTTTTTAGTATTGTCACTACGCCATATAAGGGAATAGACAACAATTTTTTTCATAGACAACGCTTTAAAGCGCTGCCTATTCCTGCGCTACTGTAAGTAAAGACATGCGCTGCTATAAATAAAGACAATATTTTTTGTCAATGTAAAAGTGTTGCTTAATGTAGCCTTTAGGCAAGGATCTTTACATCAGAAGCGCTTCCTAAAGGCCTCTATAGGCAGTGCTTTTTACATCAGAATCACTTTCTAAAGTACCCCTTTAGACAACGCTTTCACTTTAGACCGCACTTTTAAAAGCGTTATGTAATGTATATTTTTGTTCACTTTTTTTCTGTTTTAGGAAGCACTTTCTTTAAAAGCGCTCTCTAAATTCCCTTTTAGACAACACTTTTTACTAAGTGCTTTCTAATGTACCCCTTTAGGCAGCGCTTTCTTTAAAAGCGCTTTCTATTCCCCACTATAGGCAGCGCTTTTTTGTTTAAAGCGTTGTCTAATGTTCACGGATTTTTTAATATATACAACATATATTTTAAGCGCTCTCTATAAATAATCACTTAAAATAACCGTTGTCTTTCAAATTTGCACCAGATTTCATAAATTTGCAGCTTCAATCCAATAAATATGCACCAAATTTACATATTTATATATACAACTTTAATATATATATATATATATATATATATATATATATATATATATATATATATATATATATATATATATATATATATATATATATATATATATATATATATATATATATATATATATATATATATATATATATATATATATGCAAATTTACATATTACTATCTTCTAGAGTTGCTATCTTCTCTACAAGAAATAACAATGAAGAATCCTAAATGAATTTGTCATCTCTATATCTTCTACATACGCATCTACCTGAAACAAAACCAACAAAGGCATATCAAAACCAAGCTATATAACACTTAAATCTTATAACTATTATAGTTTAACACAAACCAATGTAACAAAAACAAATCAAGAATCCATTATAGTCCACTATTAAAAATCCCCTAATTCATACCATGATACAAACAAAACTTTATTTGAATTTAAATCCAATACCATCATAACTAACCTTCCACATAACAACAACAACACTGCAACACAATTTACCACACTAATGACGACATAGTATCTCATAAAAACTCAAACTTATATATACTCAAAATTCTCATCAATGAAAGTGTCATAATATCTTATAAAATTTTCATCTCAATAATGTATTGACACCAATCCTCCTTAATTTCGTCCAATTGATCTTTCGAGTAAGTAGAAGACTTGTATTCATTAAAGTACTACATAATATAACATAATATGATTTAGTTAAAACTAATTAATTAGATGAAATGTATTATGTTAGACGATGTGATCGATCTAGAAGGGGGGTTGAATAGATCGTTTAAAATAATTTGTGTTTTTTTAAATTTTTTTTCATAAAAATATGCGAAAGCTTCCTGGAATCTCCAATCGTCTAAACGATCCTCTATTGAAAAGATCGGATATGTGAAACTGTATGGGATATAATGACAAAATAAGAATCAATGTGTTTTACTCAATTAATCAATTACTTATACACTCTCAATGATTACTAATTACGACCAATGAGTTGAATGAGATAAGGATAAGCACAATCAATAATTTTGTGGATTAGTCAATTTGTCAACCACCTTATGAGCAAAGCACCTTAGGTTTGGTTTTACAAAATTGTAGTGGTAAGTTTTCTTAGGCATCAATTAAAAGGACTGTTACCCATGTTTTGAAATGAACTCAACACACTACAATTTCAGTAAGTGCATATTTGACAAATTAATTTTCACACAGTTTCGTAATCAAGTATAGAGATGAAGAAAAAGAAGAAGAACACACGATTTGTTAAGGCAGTTCCCCTTGTCGTCCTCGGGTAGGGTACGTCTTCCCCTAATTTTAGAATCTAGAATTGAGATATTTGATATTAAGTTGCAAATGATACAAGAGAAGAGATAGTTCACAATACAAACAAACCAATGTTGTTGATGCAACAATATTCTTCCCTTTTCTTAGTTTAAGCAAAACCAAGTGCCAAATTCTTCGAACAAACCTCCAGTTACCGCTACTTGATTAAGAAAACCCACCGTTTCTTAATTCTTTCACTCAGCTGGTTTCGATCGCAAGCAATTTGACCCCAAATCTATCTTCACAATCCTCCTGTTACCGCTACTTGATTAAGCAAACTCATTGTTTCTTAATCCTTTCACTCGGCTGAATTCAATGAAGCAAAGACTTGTGCAAAAAACACTGCACCAATAGGAATCTTGGAGGAGAAAATTCCAATGATTTTATTCAAGAACATCCCACAGTTGCTCAACCCAAGTCTGAATTGAATCCTTGATTTGAACGTTATCACCACAACAATTTTCTTGAATCAACAACCATGATTATCTGTAGATGTTGATTTTGAGAAGAGAGGATGAAGATAATGAGCACTATGTGTATCTTTCACTAGTTCTTGTTAACTTCAAATAATGATGCATAATGAATATATATATATATATATATATATATATATATATATATATATATATATATATATATATATATATATATATATATATATATATATATATATATA